CGACTTAAGTGCTTAATTTCATCACAGATATACCCTATACTCTTCGACCACATTTTCCTCAAAATACTCACATGTAAAACAATGAAGTCGGATGAAACTTTTCTGTTAGTTAGTATCATTTGGCAACTTGCGCTTCACTCGGTATGCAGCAAATGTCAGAAAGTTTTGCAATAAACGTTTAATAAGTAGCAGATAAGCGTTTTGCTCTTGTCTCAAAATCTGAGCCGAATTTTCGTAATTGAAAATGCTTTATCAATTTTGACGAAGAGTCAGGATTCAAGGGCTTAGCAAACTTTCACTGGACTTTCGCAACTAAGTGGTCATATGCGATATTTTTTTTTCTGCTGTATTGAATCGTAGTTCATTTCAGTCAATCGATGATGCTGACACAAACTCTCTGTTGGAATAAGATTTAATTAGAATTCTTTACTTATATTTCCTTTGAAGCACGCTTGCCACTAAGCTTGAGAATAATACTTCATATAAAGAAAACAATTTATCAATAACAATAATAAGTACTAGTATAAAAAACATGTTTTTATATTTTTGCTTATTTAGAAAGTGTTGTTTAATTTATGCAACTGCAAATAAATTTAAATTACCTCATAAATTCCAAGATCTTAGCAGACAAAGTTATATACACATTAATTTTATTACAATCGTATCCTATATACTTCATAGAAGTAACATAGTTTAAAAAGAGTATAAAAAATTTGTTCAAATATTTGTAATGACGCGAAAGGAACATTGAGCGAAGTATATACAATATGTAGCAAATATTTTTCTGATCAACTAAATATATCATTTTATCTAGCGATTTCCATCTGTATGTGTATCTACGAGTTCATTTATCTCTCTTCTAATATAAAAATTTAATGGATAATTGAAATTTTTTGAGAATATCATTTAGAATCTCTTAACGATACTACTACCGGATATAGTTATATGTTTACAAATACATAGGTAGGTAGATAAGAAGTTGGAGTACTGATCTAACCAATTCAATAAGCGCATCGTACTTGTAGGAAAGTTGGAAATTTTTGAACTAGTCGGTTTGATAAATTTAATATGTTACTAATGTTGAAAACATCGCTGGGTGGAATAAGAAATGGGCTTAAGACTGTATCTCCTGATACATACATATCTGAATAAAGATTTGTCAGCTGTTTTGGTATCTGCTCTCGAGCACCAGTAGACATTCTACTGTAAGGTTTTGGCAGCCCCAGCTGCCCTAGTGACGTTCTATAGTCCAATATTCTCCTAGAACCAATTTTATTTTAGATATTTTTAATTTATTTCTTCAGATCAAGTCAGAGTTTCTACATTTGAACATCGTAGGCGATGTCGTTCTTGACCTGGTTGCTGAAGAAGTATTGGTTCAATTTCATTTGGTCTGCCGCAAAAATATTCTCTATTTTTTTTTCTTACTTCCTTACTTCTTTTTTCATTATAAATTTTACAGTACTGGGGATCTGTGTTTGTTTTTGAAAATTATTCCCTAATATTATTTGGCAGGGTTCAAGTTCAACAGTACAAATGTACTGTTAAAGAAATCATATACGAAGAATTAAATATAAGAAATAATTGCAAAAGACAAGTAATGAAGGGGATTTGGCAATTCTCGAAATAACTGTGTGATTAGTTTATTTATTAATGGTTTATTTCATCATAATTGACGTTAAAAATAAAAATAAATTATATGTGTGAGATTCCCATAAATTTTCAGATCGTTCAGATCGTTCAGATTTAGTTCCAACCATTTCTTCTTAGCAATTGTGTTTTGATATTTAAATTTATTTTGATATTTCCGGCTATTTTCATTTTACGTATTATATTTTGTACCAACAATTTTTGGAGTTTTTAAATAGAATACGTCGTTGATGCATAAATAAGTTAAATTCAAATTATTTTATTAAATGAAATTTCTTATTTAAGATTATTCAGATATTACTACAGAATTAAGGTTGTGCTGCTTTTTTTATCATATTTTTTTTATAACATCTCTATATATATTCATTAATTAGGAGCCTTTAATCTTTAAGTAGTAATAAAATAACTGTAACACCTAACGTCCATATATATGAAGTCGTAAGTTTTTTTTGATTTTACTGTTAAATCATAGTAATCATAGTTTTGTCTTTATATTTTAGACCCTCGATATCTTTTTTTTTAGTGTTTTCTAATTTAATAAATGTTCGACTTTTCATTATTATTATAATGATAATATTAGATTACTCTCCGATAGTAAATACTTCTAAAGCAAAAACAAGTCATAATGCAGCTTTTGGCACCAACTTACTAAAATCATTAAATTAAAATCAAGTTAAAATCTTTTATATCCATATCTTCAATTTTAAATGCGACAATTTTCTTGTTTGATATATTCACAAAACGCAAAATAATCCTCATCACTAAAAAAAGTGCCAATACGGAGTCATTATTGAGAAATGGTATTTTGGGGTATAAAGCTCATTCACAATCTAAAGATCACTACTCCTACCTGTGCCCCTAAATGGCAAAAATCCATAGACGTAAATATCGAATGCTAAAGCAGTATTAGGAGCGTTCGACGGTTCTTTGTAAAATCTTTTGTACACTATATATGATTGGCTGTAGATTTCTCCCGTTATAGACTTTGTTCAACGAATTACTGTCCAGTGGCTTTGCTATGTTTAAACTCGCTGTTAAAGAAAAAAAACAAAAAAGAACACTGTCTTTGGTGAAGAGACGAAAAATTTTAATTTATGACACGGAATAAGGCCTGAAATCATCTAGTAAGCCTAATGTTAAGCGATGACTTAACAATTTTTTTAAATAAAGCTTAACGCTGGTCAAAAAGTTATTTTTAATACATTACATCAATCGTAGCTTCTTTTAGTAAATGCTTAAGAGTGAAGCAACATCGAAACTCACGTTTATGTTTAAAAATGTACTCACCAATTTTTTTAATTACTTTATATGCCATATCAGAAAAAATATTGTTAACATGCTTTAAGATTAAAATAAATAAATTATTGTTATATTTTGATTTGTTATAGATAGCTATCAATTGGCTGAAGTTCCTATAGCTCATATTTAACTTAACTTACCATTTATTTGAACAAAAATGAAATTGTTACTTGAGCTTTATTATTTTAATATGTACTTTATTATTTAATTATATATATTGTTTACATAAATATATTTACAATTTTTAGTTTTAAATAAACGTAAAATAATCACAAATTTTTAATTTTAATTACATAGAAATGTCAAAGAAAAGTATCTCAAATTTGTAATTAGAAGTTAAATTACAAATTTTCAAAATGCATAGACACGCCAATTATTTTTAATATTCTCACAAAATTTCATATAATATTATATATTTTATATACTCCATGTAAATTAATGTAATTATTAAATTTTTAAAATTTTAAAATTTGAATTAAATAAAACGAAATTTAGTTAGCGAAATTCAATATATGTAAAAGATAAGAGTCACTTCGAATATATTTTAAACTTTCTTGTAATGAAATTCATGAAAGTCTATATTTAATTTGCTTTCAAATTTTTAAATACAAAGCAAAAATATATTTAAAAGAATTATATATATAATTTTGGTTTTTATTCCATCATCAATTTAAAAATGAATTGCATTTTCATATGTGTAAAATTTGTAAATAAAGCAAATAGAAGAGTATAAAATTGACAGAAATAATTTTTAAAGAAAGAAATATGTTCAGAAATTTATAATATTAAAGAACTTTGAAACAGCTTCTGTTGTTTTTTTTTTAACAAATTGAATCATTTCTGACATTAATTTTTTTTCACACTCAAATATGAAGGGGAACTCATCAAATAATAAATTCTTCAATTAGCAATAATTTTAACAAGAAAAACAATTTAACAATATACATTTTATTTTAATTATCTTTAATTTGCTTGATATTGAAGACTTAAATGTCAGATGTCATTTGTTTGTAAAATTAGCATTAACGCAATAGCCCATAAAAGATAATTAAAAGTATTTATTCTGTGAAAAAATAATTTATCAAAAAATTTAATTTTAATAAAATAATTTTTAAAAAATTTATTGTTATTCAAATATTTTTTATACAAAAAAATTTCAACAATCACAAAATAAATAAGTCTTTAATCCTGAAAAAATATTAACCAGTTCTGGAGCGAATATTATATCAGATTGCAAAAATTTAGAAAAATTTTTTGTTGCTTTTAGTTATACATATTTAATAGGTCTAATTGCATTTAGAATGAAAAAGAATGACAATACCACAATAGCTCCAGAAAACTCCACATTAAAATATTCAAATATTTTAGAATAGAAATATAATATTGAAACTATGCTGTTTCGAAGTAATTAAAATTTTCATTTATTAAGATATCAATGCCTCCAATTAAAAAATATTTAAAAACAATTTTAATTATTAAAAATGTATTTTACTAATGATTTTATTTAAATCTTTGAAATTTATTTTTTAATATTCTTATTTTTAAATTTAATTGTGCACAAAGTCACTTCATATTTAGATCTTAAAACTAATTTAATATTTTTCATTTTGTATTTATAATGCTTATATTTGTTAGTGTACTTAGTGCTAAGTTCTTTAAAATTTTTGAAGCCTTTCAACATTTATCTTAACAGTTCATTTAATTTAAATTTTCTAGAGTCTAACTAATAAGAGATTTTTGTTTATTATATATTTGGTTACTTTTTATAAATATATTACAGTTTTACTACTCAAATTATCTTCACATTAGTAGGTCACACTTTGTGTAAACCTTGGAAAGGTAAGAATTTCCAATTATTATATTATATTTATTATTAGTGTTCCATATTGAGATTTTTCTTATAATACAAGGCTAAAAAGTTACATACAAATTATAGAAAATCATATGAAATGCACACATATACATAGTTGATATATGTATAAAGTAAGTTATAAAATAACATTTTATATAAACTTGCAGTATTTTGTATGTTTTAGTACTCGTCTATTTTGTTTAAATTTTGTATTAACTTCTTTTCAATTTATTTATTTCGTTTTATTAAATTTTATTTAATAATTTACTGAGAATTTCTGGCATTTCAATCACCTTTCAACTAGTTTTTTAATTTTTACTCTCTGTCCGTTCATAATGAAGAGTGTGGAACTGCTTCTGTGCCACACCTGAGATGATTTAGTATGAATTTCACTTACAGTACCGCTTTTTTTTTGAAAATTTTTAAGAGTTGGGTGCAAATGTGTAGAAGGTTTCACGCATGGTTCAGAAGAAACTGTAGATCGCAAGAAGCTTGAAAGTCCAAATGTGTTAAAGATTTGTTGGAAATGATTTTTGTTTAGATTTCTACGTAGTTTGTACGCAGTTTCATATATTGTGCTGCATATATAGAACAGCAGAAGTAGATTGACAGATAGATTAATACATATAGACTTAGTGGCATGCGATGCTGCTGACGTGCCGCGCGCTGCATTGCTGCTGGGTACTTCCCTAGAAACGGAATGTGATACACCTTTTTAATGCACATCTTAATATCTGTTCAATAACTCAATCATTGTGTACACCGGTTTATTATTTACATATAATAAATGTATTGTATATAACATATAATGGCAATAATAGAAAAATGCTAATGTAGTTAAATTCTCTAAATAAGGATTATGTATACAAATATGATACACATGTAATATAAATAAAATCAATTAATTATATTTAAAAAAAAATCTAGTGATAAATATATACAATATTATAAAATACTTTATAATATGATCTAAATAAGATAAAATAAATATACAATAAAATTATTAAAACCCATAAAATGAAAAAAAAAAACATAAATAAAAGAAATTAATCATTAATGAAGTATAACATAAAAAAAGTAATCTGAGTAATGAACACGAACAGCTAAAAATGACCAAATTATATATATATATATATATATATATATATATATAGATATATATAAATATATATATATATATTATTTTCCTCTCATTAGGTAACGCAGAATCTGAAAACCATTCGATCCATTGGATCAAAAAAGAACGAGAACTTAAAAAAACACGCAAAGTTTTAATTTTTAATAATTTCCTTTATTATCGCCTTCAAAGTACTCTCCTCCTGCGGCAATACATGCATGCCAACGCTTGATCCAATTTTCCATACAAGTTTTATAGGACGCGGGAATTCAAAAAAATAACGAATATTACTTTACTCATATTGGGTAAAATGATATCCACGATAAGATAAATTTTATAGAGAGGGCAAAAAATAATTGATCCAGGGGTGGCTATGAATTAGGATATAGACTACGGCTGTCCGAAGCACTGCTCAGGGGTCCGCGACATGTTCTATGTATGTGATCTTACACAAGTCCGCAAATTTTGCTTCAGTATTCTTATAGTATCCAAAATATATAAATTTAAATTTATATACTAAGAAAACTAAATTTTTATTATTATTGAAACTAGAGGCGTGAATTCGCCAAACAGCCAAAACAGTCTTGTTGTACCAAATTCTAGGGGGCTTATTGTACACAAAGCCCCCTAGAGTGTAATGAAAAAAAGTCCAGTACTAAATCTCTTAATCTGTTCTGGTGACAGAAACTCCACCTGAAACAAGTTTCTTTTGAGCGCTGTCAAAGCTGGACAATCATAAAAATATTGCATAGTTATCTCCTCATTTTCGAAGTATAATCTACATTCCCGATTAGCAGATAATTGCAGTTTATCTGGGTGCAATTTCAGTTCAAAATGACCAGTATTGGAACCCTTTAGTAACCATTAGTACTGGGTAAACTTTCATATCAATAAACTTTCCTGGACTCAGGCAAAGCAAAGCACTGATAACACCATATTCTTACAAAGACATTCTTAAATTCTCAAAGTGTAATTTAAGGTTGATAACGGGTTTCATTACAGGTCATTATTATCTTCATATACTACAATTAACTGCTAACTCGGAATGCAGATTATGGCTTGAAGATGAGGAAACGACCGTTCACATTCATTGTGACTGTACAGCTTTAATAACGCACAGAAGAAACCTCTTTCATATGGAAGTTCTGTCACCAGAGCAGATTAGAGCTCTTCTCTAGATTCAGTTCTAGATTTTGCGCAAATAGTGCAATTCATACGGCCTCTTAATATAAAATATATTGTAACTCATTTATCAAGGGAGGTTTTTAAAGACTTCAAATGGCGTACTTCGGTAAGGTCTTGCTCTACTTTGAAGAAACACCATAAGTTCTAAGCGGACTTCAATTGAAATTCATTAACAGAATTTAATTAAAAGAAAATTTAGTTAGTGAAAATTTTAAGATATTGTATTTGAAACTTTACAGGCAGTTTATATTTTATATCAATATTTTATCATAAATCTATGAATCCGGTGAAATGGCAAAATTACTCTATACATCTCATTTAAAAAAAAATTGAAAATTTTGGCTAAGTAATATAAAAAACTATATGAAATATCAATAAAATATTTATATTTTAAATATTTATTATTTTAAGACCAAATGGTTTTGAATATAATGTTTTTACAGGCTAATTGAATAAACATTATATTAATGTTAAAATTAAAAATAAATCGTGGCTTTTTACTTAATTTTTATTTTTAACAATAATTAACATTATATAAACATTATATTTAGATTTTTGTTTTAATAATACATAAACGAATATAACAAATAAAATACGTCGAACGTGGTGAAATTATGCTATTGTAAATATAGGTAATATTAAAATGAAATAATATGAAACTACACAAAAAAATCTATAGCAAAATGTTAAGATGATGAAAGAGAAATAACAACGTAACACCGTATAAATTAATAAAAAATTAAATAATATATAAAACAAAATAACCTAAAATTAAATTAATTAAAAGACAAAGATAGTGAAATAACAAATAATTTACCAAAAAAAATTTGAAATAAAAAAAAGAATTTATTAAAATGAAAAAAATAAAAATGCTTTATTTAATGAAACATACTTTAATAAGGTTACTTAAAAAGGCCTTAAGAAAAGTTAATTAAATTATAGTATAAGGAAGGGTACTAAAATGACATATAATGAAAATAAATTTATTCAAATAACAAATTTGTTAAAAAATAATATTAATACACTCAGCATAACAACACATTATATGTAAAAGAGAATATATTTAATATATATGAAAATGAATACTAAATAATATTTAATAGCATTTTCATTCAATAAGAAATGTAAATATATACGAGTATTAAAATTTATAATTTAATTTGATTTTTTATTATTATGTTACTAACACGTAATGATACATATATGTTTAAGCTAATGTGATGCATATTATATTATAAAAACTTAAGTTTGCTTGAATTTTTAACTAAAAAAAATTAAGTTCCGAAATATTTTATTTATTTAAAACAAAAATATGTAAAATAAATCAAAATAAACATTAGAACATAAGAAAATATTGAAAGCATTTTCTGTATGAAATTAAATTAAATTAAATAAGTTGTGATTAATTAAAAATGATATGGTAAAAGGACAAAAAAATAATAATAATATAACTATGATATATAAACAAAAAATAAAATTACAAAAAATAAATATATAAAATGAAATCGTTTGGAATTGAAAAACATTAAAAATGTAATGACATTACTTCATAAATATATAAAGTAATTTTAATTGAATTGAGGGAAACAGAGCAAATAAATAATAAATTTTAAACCAAACTATAAAAAAAGAAAATTCAAATAAAAATATTTAAATGAAATTTGAGAAATATATAAGTGTAACAGATATGGTGGTATTATAGTACGAAAAGTCAGTTAATATATATAATATAAATGTAAAGTCAAATTTGAATATGTCAAATGTAAGTATTATTATAACATATTATATGATAAATAAGAAAAAAAATTGGAAATGAATTAAATGAAATTTATTTATAAATCTAATGATATATCTCATATGTAAGACTTTTATAAATAACCAACTTATAGTCCATAAAGAAAACACAATTACCCACTTACCATTTAGTATGTGAATGGTGACGCTCTTAGGTTTGGCGTTCGAGGGACTGCACTGATATAGACCAGAATCAGTTGGCTGTGCAGATTCAATTAATAGCGAAGAAATTGTTGTCTCTCCCTTTATCAATACTATTTTAACACCACCACGTATTGAGTTTTCACTGATGATCTAGGTTTTGGAAAAAATTAAGAAAAACCGCCAAGTCACATTTAGTATATTATATAAATTATTTATACATTATAAATAATATTAAATAAATAACATATATAACGTGAGATAAAGTTATGTAGCATATCTGTATAATATATAATAGTATATATAAAATTTATGTAATATTAGGACTCATAAAAAAAATATTAGGACTCATAAAAAAATGTATTTCAAACTTTTAATATGGCACTATAAGATAAGTACTATATTAATAATATTTAATAATATGTATGTATGTAATAATTTTTATTATTTATTTATCATTACTAAGCTCAGGTCTTTAATTTAACATATTAAAATTAAAAATGTTTTTTTAAATAAAAAATTACACTAATAAATTTGTGATAAATATTTAATTGTATTTTAATTTTTATAAAAAATTATTTATATTATAAATATTTCGGTCTATTTCATAGACCATCTTAAGTGTACAATGATTGTATGAATGATGAAAGATTGGTAATTTTAATTTTTTGTTGTAATTTTAAAACAATGTAAAGTACACAACACTAAACTTTAAATATGTATATAAAACGTTATTTTATAATTGTTGAAACATGCGGATAAATTCTCGAAATGTATAGAATATACAGTGCAAAATAATATATAATCTTATATAAATTTAAAATTAAAATCATTCAAAAATTTGTCAATATCAAAAACATACAGCGTCATTATGATTCCATATGATATAAGCAGGTGGTTCCGGACAATTTGTTATAACACAGGTTATATTTATCGTAGAGCCACTTTCAATATAAAGATCTGGTGCACCTATTATTTCCGTAGATGGCTCTGAAAAAATATTCGAGTATTTTATAAGCACTTAATCTAATGTAACTACAAATATCCTACCAACAACATTTAAATAAATGTAATGGCTCATATGTGGAGTAGTTGAAATTTGACATTCGTAAATACCAGAATCTCGATGTTGTGGATATTTTATCTGTAACGTCCAGTCATCGGTTTGTGGTTGATGTATAGCACGAAAACGCTGATCGGAAGTATATGTGTATCGGCCAACTGTGAGTAAGTGCACATCACGATGGCGTACCCAAGATACTTGTAATAACATCTGTTGTGGTGCAGTATTTAGAGAAGATTCATAAATATTATATATATTAAAAAAAATTTTGTTGATTTCTTTAATAATTTATTTCAAGGGGTTATAACTGATAGGAAAAATATTTAAATAGAATTAAAGGCTAGAGTTTAATATTTATATAATAAAAGTAGATAAAAGATTGACGAAGTTATTACAACAGCTTAAACTAACGATATATGATTGAATAGATATTGAACTTAATATCGGGCGGTACATTTTTAAATGTAAAAATCAAACCTTTTATCACAAAGGTTACAAAGGTCACATGGTTATTTTCCATGTGATATTTTGCTCTTTTGATACCATATTCCACGGAAAAACCATAAGATAGAAGTATGCAGAAATCCATTTTAAGTCTTTATTCATGAAAAGTCTGATAAGCTGTCAAAAAATGCTGCCGATTTCTCCAACTTCTGCAGTGAAGATTATTGTCTATCTGCAGAAGATTCCATAGCCATGATTTGGAATGACTGATAAAAGGTGATAAGCTAATTTGTTTGTTTTTAGTTGTATATGAAAAATAATTACCAACACATACAGTGTAAAATTCAAAAAAATTTGCATTTATTCAAAAGTTTATATTAAACTTCAAATAAAGTCAAAATATGATAGTATTAGCTTTTATGAAAAAATAAATGATATGGCTGATATAAAGTACACAAATAGAATATATAGTATTCATAAAAATCATTAAAAGATAGTCGAAGGAGAAGTGCTAAAAATTCACAAAAGAGGACGACTAAAACAGAGTTGAACTTAACTGAAAAGGATTGTGGGGCAGGCTTATGTTGATATTGAACTATTAAATGGTGAAAGAAAATAAAAATCTAAGTTAATTTTTTATATTATATTGATTTTTAATGTCCATTTTAACGAAAGAAACTAAATTCTTAATAAAAATTATTGTTTTCAGTAGAGAGGTGTTTATCAAATAGTAGTGAAATTGCAACTACAAAAACTATTTTTAATTTCTTATGTTATTGAGTCAACGAAAAATATTTTAAATTCCTAACTAAAAAATCCACACTTACCACAGATGACATTATAGATTGACTTATAATACAAACTCATGTGCTTAAGGCATATGATTTGATTCCAAAAAGATGCAAAACAGATTTTAAATGCAAATAATGTTCTTCTGTATTTCATAAATATTAATATTTAATATTTCAAAATATTAAATTTTAGTATTATTTCTAGTGATTGTACTTAAAGCTTAACAAATTTAATAAGTGAGTAAGTGTACTTATTTAGACTCATGTTTCTTAAGTATACAACCTGATTGGATATGTATGTATTTATCTAAATCAAATTTCATTTATTTTATCTTTTATCATTTGTCAGCTTTTGTTGAATATTTCTTTGTATGGAAAACATATTTATTATTCTAATTAAAAGTTTAACTTCAACATTTGCCGCCTCAGTAACAATGCAGCTAAGATGTTATGTTTTTGTAAAAAATTTGTTAGAAACATACTTGCCTGAATTTATTTGTCTGTCACAGAAATGTTATAAAACATTTTTATATTGTGTTAAATGTCTGTCACCTGAGCCGAAATACACCCACAAATCTTTGAATATAATTATTCCTAGCGTCAAACCTTGACACATTTCAACTGACAGTTTCTACTTCTTTCGCAAACCGTGCGTAAAACTCAACATACTGAATAGACTGTAAACAAAAAGTTTCGAATAGAATAATTATCACCTGTCACACAACGTGCTGCTTTGGAAAGCAAATCAACATGAAAAGTAGAAGAAGAAGAAAAGTTACAATATAAAATAAAATTTCTATAAAAATAATATAAAAGTATCTATAAATATGTACAGAAAACTCTATAAGAAATATAAGTACTTCTTACACTCTACGTACAAGAATAGAATATTTATTAAAGACTTCATAGTATTTGCAATAATTCTTTTATTAAATTGGCAGAAAGAAAAGCTTCAAATATAATTAAACTCTAATTATATATATTTGATCATATATAACTTTTCTTTAACTTCTTGTTCTAAGGAAGTAAGCCCAATTTGGTATGGAGGAGAATATTTATTTAAGGCATCTCCTAGTCGTTCAGTATAAGCAAAAATATTCATTTCCTTTGAATTTATATGAATTTTATTAAAGAGAAGGCATACCCGAAATTTGATTTCATGTTGGAAAATCCAGAATGATTCAATTTAACTTTACGCGTCTGATCGAATGATTCCACGATTCGACGACGCATGCAATCAGGCAAACAGTCAGGAAGACCGCGTGAGAATCAACCAAAAGTTTCGATAATAAAATATGTGTTTACAGGCTCGTAAAATTTGCATATCGATTTATTTATTTACTTTTTTATGGAAATTCTATTTAATTTTTTCCTGTACATATTTCCCTATACCACTTGTACGGTATAGGAATGTTTTTGTTGGCATTTTATTACATATAATATCAAATTCTACATTTTATATTTTATTTATTATAAAATTGTTTACAAAACAGTTTTTGTTTTATAGTTCGCTTTCGGTTCAAAAGCGGTAATAAATCTATTCTAAGCTAGCCTAGTTGTTTCCGAAATAGTCATTAATTTTTCATTCAAGCCGTTTCACACATTTGAACTGTAAATTTGTTGCTCAGTTTCCATTAATTTTGAAACCACTGAAAAAGTTATTAAGGACCCACCAACAATCCGCTAACCACCACATTTTGGCGTATGTACATATCATGCACTAAAACATCCCACCAATAATGCAAAATAAAATTGACACTTCCTGTTAGTGTGCGTTTGAAACAAAACTCTTACTTTGCTAAATTATATTGTTACTTAAATGGTATGAAAGATGGTATGATTTATTTTGGTATTAAACAAAACGAACCAAAATGGAATGCCAGCAGGGTTGGATATATAAATAAGCGAGCAGCTTGTTTTTTTTTTGGTTGAAAATATTTTCTTGAAAATGTTATAGTGAGGAAAGCACATATACCCATCCATTTATAAAAAAAAAAAGTTTTCAAATGCAAGGAACTATTGTGGTTTTCTGAAATGAAAGAAAATACCAATAGCTTTACTAGTTTTATAGAATGCAATTTGAACTGATGTTAGTAGGAGACCGACTACACTCAGAACAATAATTTCACGACACTAGATTTTAGTTTAACCATACCACTTCTTAGTTTTTATATATTCTTTATCAACTTAACTATAATGTGGTTAGAGCATATTGTTTGAGTGTAGATATTAATTTCATAATAGGTATAATGATACCATAAAAATTCGGACAGGGTAGTAAACAAAGTTTCCAATAAATATAACAAATATCAAGTAAATCAATATGTGCAGATAACGTATCTAGCGAGACAGTTATTTGCTTAAACTTATAAAGTGATCCCCTTATGTGGTTTGATATTTTAAAGCATTGGTTCGTGATAAAAACCGCTTGATATAGCTTTCGCGCTATTGGGTTCAGTCATAATTCACACAGTCCCATTCTAGATTCAGAGGTCAGAGATTTTGATTTGAAATCGATTCGGTACAAAACTAATTAGTGATACTTAAACATAAATACTAGAAGCGCCTACATTATGTTCCGTTTTTATGGAATGAATATTACAGAAAAATATTAGAATATAGTTTAAAGGATTGAAGCTTTTTAATAATTGATTGAGAAGTTGACATTCGTATCATTCTTTAAGATAGAAAAAATGTGAAATTGTGCGTATTGTGCTATTGATGATATTGAGATTGTTGGTGTACTGATTTTGAATTGCAATTTTTCAAAAAATAAAACTTTAATGGGATCTAACTATTACTTTCTTATCCTAATTTTTGAATTTAATATACACAAAGCTGTGCAGTATTGATTATTTCTTTAATTAGATTACCCAAAATCGCTAATTACAGGGAAATCAGAATTGGGAATTTGGATGCGAGATTATAGTTGTAATTGGATTTGAATAAATTACAAGGAATATGATTGGGATATTAGATGTTAGATTACTGTTAGAATTAGAGTTTAAAATATTAATTCCTTATTCTGAGTAACTGAATTTTAAAGAAATACCAGTAGTACTTTGCCGAATTAACATCAGCACGCTACTGATGGAACAACATCTGCACGGCTGCTCCAAATAGAATACGGTTCAGAGGAATTGTTGAGGCCCTATGCTCCACTGGGGGTTAACGGAACAAAGAAGAAGAAGAAGTAGTGCTTTTGAACAATTAGAAATTTTTTAGATTTTATATCTTATATATACTAGCGACCAGAGTTATTAAAGAGATCATTTACACATTCATCACATATAGACTGCAAAAAATAAATATGTTTGACGTTTCCGCTGAAGTTGATTTTCTTAATGGAAGAGTTATTTTGGTCGACATAAAAACTTCACAGCTATTTAATTTATTTCCTAAATTGAACTTAATTGATTCCAAAAGGTAACGATACAAATTTTACTAAATAATTTATTAAAAATGTAGGACTTATTTCGGAAATATTATATATATTTTTCGTAGCTATATGTTAATTTTGCGGAATTACCAAAACATGCAATAAAATTCAGAAAACATTAATTAAAGTGTACGAAACTAGGGATTCGATTTATTTAGTTAATTTAATTTGAGACCACTGAGCTCAAACCTGCAATTTTTTTTTCGCCTAGACATCTGAGTTTTTGAGAATAATAGGGTGAAGTTGAAAAATACTAAATTCTTGTAGCACATTATTATTTACACATAAATAAAAGCTAAGGAAACGATTTATCACAGGATTGCGGGAACTTAAGTAAAATGGTTCAATAGATAATTTTGTTAAGTTTATAACGCAAAAATATCACCTTACGTTACATTCCCTTCTTTACAGAAAAGCATATTTAGACAACATTCAAAAAACTATTTTTCACACCTATTTAATAAACAAGTATACCATTTAGATTTTTGAAAACTATTGTAGAATCTAAGTCTTATAGAATTAAAGCCACATTAATAAGCCATGTTTATGGACTTTAATCAAAACTCAAATAAGTAGAAAGATAAGACATATAAAAGTATTAAATCAATAGAATATTTTAAGACTCTTAAGTTCTTAAAAATACTGCACTAAGTTCATGATAAACAATTATTTCTATACCTTCAAATTAGTTCGTTTCAAGTAATTACTGATACTCCAGATTAGAGAGTTTCTCTCTCATTACAAAAATTTCTCTATTTCGTTTGTTCTAATTTGGCAACGTTAATCCATTGAGATATGTGTTATATTAAGCAGACCTGCTATCCAAAGCCTTATGTGTATAGCTTAATGATTGCCATTATTCAATGTGGATCATTCTACATCCGTAAAATGTGTTAAAATTGTAAAATTGTGTAACAAAAATGTTGATTGTGTTCTGTTTTGGTGATTGGGATTTGCTTAGTAGATATATCAGTAAATAAAGTGTTTGAAAAATAGTATTTATAAGAGATCAGTGTATAAGTGATTTTTAGAGAGTGGACTTTTCTGGTAATGAGGATAGTAGGACAAAAATCATCAATTATAGTCGTCACAGTTGCATGTTTGCAAATATTTTTAATCTCATATTGAAGTTATGAATATGAAAGACATTTTACAATATGTCCTTTCTGGTTTCTCTTCTGGCCGAGAAATTTTCCAGGACTTTGATTTCATGATTTGTTAATATCAAATCAATCACTAAGATCATGCAATTTGGTACCACTAAATTTTTTTGTGGGGTTATTCAAATGATCGCATTTATGTAAATAATTACTTTCACATCTTCTCCGCTTTGTAAATAATCCTATGTTTTGTTTTGGTTGAGCTGTTGTCAACTATATGAAGATAAGTTATAGAAAATTTCGTTTGGATAATTTCTGTAGAGAATATGAGAATATTGCAATAAAGTTGTATTGCACTCTTGAATATGTTTCATATACGTTCAGTTTCGAAACTACAGAATGGATTACACTTTAGTTGATAGTATATGATAGTTATTATTTAAAGTAGAGGATACATTTCTTTTAATATTTCGAATTGAAGGTAGGAGGAACTATAAAAAGAACCGTAAGAAAGAAGTATAAATCTAAATGCAAATTATTTCGCTAGCGCTTACAATTATTTTCAGAAATTTGATCAAAATAAACTGGAATATTTCTCTAAATAAAATTATTCAGTAATTATAAAGCAAAGCTAGTTTAAGATTATTTTTTTTTTTTTAATTGAAGATATTACTAATTATAAAGTAAGGCTTATTTAAAATGCGTTGTTTTTTTTTTAATTGACGAAAATTGGAGTAAACATGAAAAGCACTGAAGAAATTTGTTGTGTATTGCCATTTTTTGAAATACAATACTCTAATTACATTTAAAGCGATTAAACTGCAGTTTATTAAAAGGCAGTAAAAAAATACACATCTATCAATATTAAAACTAAATGAAAAGTAAATATCTAAAGATTCAATATCATTCCCACTTTTATATACTATTCGTAGTAGTGAACTTTGTATTCAGCTGTTATTCGCAAACTGCCAAATATTATTGGCACACCTGACCCAAATAAATATTTACTTTCACTTATTTTAATTAAGTAGACAATCGTTAGCAATGCCGTTTTACGGACTTACCGTTTTATTGCCAAGATTTTTGACACGGCAGTTTAAATATGCCGTTTTGCCTAGCAGCGCCGTTACATTTTTCGATGCTACTCTGTCGAAGTATGGACCGTTCGTGTTGCTGTCCTCGAATATGTCGATGGTGTTGGTATTTATACCGGAATTTCCTGATGTTATGCGACTACCTTTCTGCAGACTGCCACTAGCAATGGTGTAGTTGCTAACGTTGGCTGTTGTTGTCGCTGTTGTTGTCGCTGTTGTTGCTGTGGTTGTTGCTATTGCCATTGCGGCTGTAGTGCTGCCATCTACTGTGCGCGTACTAATGCTTGTGGTTGCTGCATAAATGTTGTTGGCGCTATTGGCATTGTTATTTCCGTTGCTAATATTGTTAGTATTTCCAATGCTCAGAGCGTTTCCGTTTCCATTACTGCTGCTGTTTGTATTCATGCTGTTGAGTATGGCATTTACGCTTTCACTTATGTTGTTAGGATCCTTCTGCTTAAATGAGTCTCTTTGTGCGGCAAACACTGAAAGGAAAGAAATTCAAGTAAAAGTTGATAAATAAAATTTCATTACTTTAATTGCACATTTTACACAAATAAAATAAACTTTTAGACAAGTAATATTTAAAATTTAATATTTTAAGTATTTAGGACTGAAGTTGTTGAAATAATTTAGCGAAAGTTCAAGGCTAAATGATTGGATTCGGGGGAATAGAATTTACTGTCTATTGGCATGAACAAATTTTTCTTTTTAGAAGAATTATGAAAGACAAAAATAAAAAAATTAGTTTATTTTTCTATTGGCAGAAATTGATTTATAAAATTCAGTAGAGCTTGTTTTTTTCAAACAAACGCAAAAACAATAAATTGAAAATTCATATTTTTCTGTTAAACATATTATATATATTATATTATTTAAAATCCACTCAAATATAAAAAATAAATTTAATAAATATTTTGAAATAAGAAGAATCAATTGATGTCAACATATTTATTCTACTTATGTTGTTCTCTTGCAGAATTAGTTTAGAAATTTATAGAGCAATTCGCGACACAAGTATATAGGTTTTTTATTCTCTTTCTTCTCACTAGCTTTCAGTATTTCTTTAATATATTGCGTATGAATTTATCATAATTCTTTAAAGATGCTTTTCATTCAGTTTTGGTATAATATTTTTATATAAATGGCGCACCAAAAGTGACCTACTTACGCAGAAATAATGTCATTATTATAAACAATTGAGGTCCTGATGCCAGATTGACTAATTTTATGTGTAAGTTACTAAAAATCGGAAAAATATTATAAAAGATTTAAAAGTATAAAACCAGTTATTTACTAGCTTTGAAATTCATGGTACTCTAATATTTTACACCTACTTTATATCCTAACCAAAAAGTATTACTTTATTTTATGATATCATAATATAATAAATCTGTATAAGAGCACTAAATCTTTATAATATCAGTAAAAAAATTATAAAAGTTTTTAATTTGGCTCGCTGTTTGCTTTAAGACAATATTCTGTTCCTGAATACTACTGAATCTTATTATATATTCGAGAATGTTTGTAGTTGCTTTTGATGTTTCTGTCATATACATATATATCAAAATATATATAAAACGCATAGCACAATAAATGAAAGTATTGCATAGCTAATCATCATAAAATTCAATATAGATTACCATTTGCGACACATGTAAATTAAAATAACACATATATTTATGTTCAAATTTATACTTTTAATATTGTATCGTATTCAATACGACATTCATTTGATATCAAGTTTTTATCGAAAAATTTAATTAGATTAATAGAGCAAATTTTTCCATTCAATGTTTATATTATGTCTTTTTAAAAATAGGCACTATCAGAGGAAATGTCAATAGTTCGTTTATTTAGTTTGAACGCCGTGACTGTATAGTGAATATTAGCCAATCCACCTAGATATACGAAGAAATTAGTAGGACGGATTCTTAAAATTTTAAGAAAAACATGAATAGAGTCAAGGTTTATCAAGGGTTATAACTGGAGGGCTTAGCATATTTAATAAAATTGCAGCAGATCCATCCATCCGTTAAAACTAGGCAAAGAAGTCACCAACAAGAGTATGTGTCAATTTACTTTACTAGAGCAACAGTTGTAGCTTATATATCTCTTATAACTGGACAGATAAAACTATTTGTTTTCAAAAACTATTTGTTTTCAAAAAATTTAAAAGATTCTTCGAAACTTAAGAGAAAATAGTTAGTATAGTTAAATATGAATCTGCGAATCTAAAAAATTCCAATTGTAAAAACTGTTTTGGGAAGTGAATCCTTTGACTTCAAAAATGAACAGAAATTAGTAAAAACTATCCTGAAAAAATAATGAAAGGTAAAGATAAAAGTTTGAATTATATTTCTCGCGTTTTTTTATGGCCAACCAAACGAATCTTTTTTGAGCACCTATTGTGTGGTTGACATTTCATGACATCTTTTCTTCTTCTTCCATATAAGCCCTGCCTTTAATTTATGAACTTGTTTTCCGAAAGTAATAGAATCTGTGTGGTTTGATTGATATTTCAAATCCGATCTTTAGTCATGGAATCGGGCACAATTTCCGTCTAATGACTCCAATTTTTAGTTGGAACAAAATACGATATCTTGCTATTATTAAGATGCATGATTATAACTCTAAACACTCTACACCTAGCTTTTATGGCATCTGTAATATTTATAGATATTTCTATATTGTTCGTAGCTTATACCCTCATGACCACTATTAAATCATGAACATCATACATAAATTTTGCACTAGATAAAAAATCACTATTATAAACCTGGTAAATTAATTGAAATATATAGGAAAAGTTTTATTACGTTCTAAATCTAAAAGAAGAATTTAAAAATCTTTGACGAAAAGAAGATCCATAAATCTTTTGTATGCATATATCTGAGGATGTTAGGAATACAGTCAAGTTTGTGGCTCTATCATATTGCTTTCCTTCCACTTGTATGGGTCAAGTGATAGGACTTCTAGCTTTAAGATAATTATATGAAACCCATGCACAAAGTGTAGTATTGCAACGAGTAATTATTTATACTTAAGCGAGGTTTTATGTAGAAGTTTGCCGCTCATACATCATATAACAAAACTTGATTTAACTAATTGTTTGATGTCATCTACACCAGTTTACAACATATTACTGTATATGCAATAGCGCTGATTTTGTTTTTCTTAAAGTCATAAAATTGTGACAGTATATCAGTGCCTAATATGTTGTACTTTACCTATTTTTGTAAATGCCAATATATGGATCTACGATGAATATCTATATCAAACTAATACTGCGTTTTTTGGAAAAGAACTTCTTATTTAATGATTCCATTATATATTATAATATTTTTTATAACTGAAAACATCTTAAGATGTATGTTATAATTGTAATTTAAATTAATAAATGGAATGGTGTTGTATACATGTAATTTATACCTCAATAATTAATTTTCTATACATGCGCTTGGAACGTCGAAACAATAAGACATGATTCATGATGTTGGATTAGCAGAATTATTCTAGTAACGTATATCGAGCACATTTGATATCTAAGCCATCAGATATTAAGTTTAAGGAGTCGCATCTTTTAATGTGGGTAACTATAACTGTTGAATGTGTTGTAATAATGAAAACATACTACAGAAGTAATGCATCGAAATCTTTTCTTACCAATCTAATTTATTAACAAAAAAATTTGTCGTTTTTTAGGGCTGTCAATTTTTTATTTCAATTTTTTTATCGTTTTTTACTATATATAGTATGATAATAGTTCTCTGAAGAAGTTTGTAAGTTAAGTTAGTATCTTTAGCATAATAGTACCAAAGGACTATACTAGCAAAAGTTTTTGTCGGAATTTTTGTAATGCATTATCTGAAGATTATAATGTCATGAGAATTCTATTACCTAAATCCTACCACCAAAAAACGCTACTGGCTTCAGAAGTCTCTCTGAAGACTTCTACTATCTGAAGACTACTATCTGAAGTCTATCTGATAGGCAGATAATAATTCGTATTATTATTAACACCAAATAAATACAAACATTAAAAGACAAAAGTGGTAACTTTTGAATTACCAGCTTTGTAATGGAAACATCATTCGTCGCTAAATTTTCCGAGCTGCTTCAAACCCGAACTGTTATCTTATAAATTTTAAATCTTATTTGTTTTTTATATGAATGTAAATGATTATGCCTAAGCTAATTTCATTAAGTTACAAGCTTAACTAAAATATTAAAATTCAACTATTTTCTAATAGGAAACTTAACTATTAACTAAGTGAGTAACTTTTGAATGAGAATTAATTATAACTGTACATATCTATTCCATGTCAATACAGCACAGACTACCAATATTGTTCGAGTGTAGTTATTCTTTCAAGTACAGTTCTGAAAATAGCTATTTTCTTTACAAATAACTGCACTTATGGCTGCTGTTAGATGTAATTATATAACAATGTTTAAAAAAAAAATATATATAAAATATACAGTCTTCTATTTCCAATCAAAAAATTGCTAATTATTACGTTCTCAGTCAGCAATAGATATTTGTCCTGTTTTATATCTGATTCAAGAATTTTATTTTTCTTTAAATATTTCATTACATTACATTTGACTTATTTATTGTGCACTGAGTTTTCATTTTTATATTTACCAAACCAAAGGCTTTTTAAATGAATTTAGTAGTCTCCTCTTACCGCAGTTTCTACAAGTGAAAAAATTCAGAAAAATTTCGCGAATTCTGAACTTTATGTTGTGAAACTTTCAGTCATCGAAACGATATGCATTTGCCATAGATTTTTGTGTCAAGGTCGAGAAATTTTAACCACACAAAAATCACATACATCGATATGCTTTCAGTGAAATTACTTTGGAATAAAATTACTAAAAAAAATTGAGTTTAAGTTTTGCTTTCTAGTTGTTTGATTTGAACTTGAAGGTTAAAGATTCGACAAAATTAAAAACCATAAGAAAAAATATTAATTTAAAAATATTTCTTTTCAATTACTTACCGCCATTTCCAGATATTACGAATGTTACAACAATAAGCATGGCTATCATTATAACCAGTAAAATCAATCAAGTTAATGTTGATAGTAGACAAATATTTCGTGCTCCCAAGGGACTTGTCTGTGTGTGCGTCTGCTTACTTCTCTGTATTGAGTTCGATTGATTGTATGCGTGCTGGTTTAGCTTCTGCTGACTTTTGCTGTGTGACAGGATGGCGTCCTGCTGAGTTATGCACTCAGCTACCTGCCCACATTGTCTGCGACGTTTTATTGAATTAGTTTCTCGTTGTTGTTGATAAGATGTAGTTTTTAGTTCAGGAACTTTTATTCGAAAAGTTTCCATAATATTTTTAATTCAATTGTTTTATATGACATTTGTTTTGCATCAAGCAATGAAATGTTCTTTTGTACTTAGATTTGTTATGAGGTTGAATGCACAAAGTTAAAAGATAATCAGGATTATATTTTCATATTTTATTGCGGGCACTGAAACGTTAAGGTATTGAAGAGAACGTTGGATTCTGGTAAGTGATTTTAGTTTTTGTATAAATTTTATAATAGCATTACATAAATGTTACTCATAATAAATCCTTTATAACTGCAGAAACAAAATTTACTTTAAATCCCATATAAATATCTTATTTTATAAACAAAAATCTGTTTTTATAGCATGCATGAAAATAAATTACTCATACGCACTGTTGAACTCAATTAATGGAAAACAAGAATTCAAACATCTAAGCAAAACTGACTTAAAGAACTGTAAACTTTTTTCTTCCCCTGAAACTATTGAAATATATGTTGGAGCATTCTAAATGTCATAATTCTGAAAAAACTGAGGGTTTTAATTAGTAATAAAATTTTGTAAAACATAATAATAAAACTACTATTAATCTTTTCTTTAAATCAAACAATAGAAAAACAGTTTTCAAGCATATAAAAGCATAGACGCCAATCGAATTGGTATTGGCAACTTTTTTAATTGTTTAAATTTTAAAGATAAAATGTTATCAGGTATATATGCATATATTGAGTAAATGTTAAGAAATAATATATGAGCAAACTGTTTTACTGGCGCAACACATAACGTAAATTAGATATCTTAAATATTTATATAAAGTGCTATATGTAAGACGAAAGTGATCAAACATTTTAGAAAACCCTTAATTTACTTAAAATATATATTATAGTACGAGTTATATTCTTGTAGTCAAAACTATAAGATCTCTGAGTTTTTATAAAATAATTAAAAAAAACAATTCAATAAAAATGATGATATATGAAACGATATTCAATATTCTAAAAAACCCTGTTTAGTTAGTGAACAAAAATATTTATTTTCAAAGAAGACATTGAGACATGTCTTCAAAAGTACAAAAGATAGCCAATACTAGACGAAGAATCACGTTTAACTATTTGACCACATATAATGGCTAGTATTTGTAGCAACGTTAAAACGTTATTCATACACTAGAATATAAAAACACTGAAAACTAAAGTACTTGGCATACAGACAATATCGAATTAAACACGTATAGCTTAATATACTTAGTTATAAAGGTTATAAAGTGTATTATTTTATTTTAACTAGTTAGTTGAACTGATTTATTACTATCATGCATCTGTTATTTATAGATTTGTTTCTTACATGTAACCTATACTCAATAAAAAGAAATAAATAAATATTTAATTTTTGTTTGGAATTCTTAGTTATAGTACTTGATCGTTTGAGTATAAAAAAAACATGAGAGGAAATGATGTCATATTAACAGTAGAACTATAATACCACCACAGTATTTAAAAATTAGTAACAGGTTGAAATAATTCGTTACTGAAGTTAAAGCCTGATTTTCTATTTGCAGCGCCATTACTAACATTTAAAGTTGAAAGTGATCATCCAAATTGATATAATGATTGAAGCAAAAACATTTTTGTGAGAAATAAGATTTCGCAATGTATTTTATTTCTAATATATTAAATGATCACTCCTTATGTACACAGACAATTTGTACATTTGTCATTAACTTCTTGAGGCTTGTTCATAATTTCTAAACAAGTTCCTTTATAATGTGCTTGTTTTTCATTGATTTACTTATTTATTTGTGAGTTAACATGAAAAATCATTTTAAAGTCAACTAAGAATAAGAGACTGGACTGTTAGATCCTTCGCCCTGAACTGTTTCTCATGAATATTGAAGCTAAATACTTCATATATAAAAGCTTTCCGTTATTTATTCTTAGCCCACCATACAATTTAATACTTAAGATAAATTAACTCTTGTTTGTAAAAATTAAATTAGAAAATTCAGAATAGCTTAAATAGCAGAATAATAATTAAATGCTATAGTATATGTCTGAAATTAAATATTTAGACTATATCTGTGATGAAAAATAGATTCTTTAAATATTTTCAATATTTGCTTGCTATATTCTTTATTTTGCATGCTAAGAAGTTCTTATTATTAAAACCCACCCTCAATTTTTAAATTCAAAGGCAATATTAAATACTGTATCATACGGAATTCACATTTAAGAAGAGTTTATCGCTATCACCAAAAAAAAAAATGGAGCACATTTAATAGTGAACAGATCAAATTTCGGATACTGTGGAAACTATGGTTTTAATGTGAGTAATAAGTATATATGTAGTTGATTTTTACTCGTCGTTGACTCATCCATTTTTGTGATTTATAATACGCTTTTCATTTATAAAACAAATTATATTATCATGTAGTATTTATTAACTACATGATAAGTGCAAATCTTATGATAAGGAATTATTTAATTTAAACCTTAGTTTTAGTTGCAAAACTATACACTAAGTGTTATTACTACAAAAAATATATAGTTTGATTTATAATTATTATTAGAAACTTTATTTTTTTGATCTAAATTTATGTAGATATTATCATATAATATAAGTCATTCAAAATAATTTTTACTTCTTGGCATGAAAATGTCGAAATGGAAACGAGGCAGAAACTGAAAAAGACGGCTACTACTGTCTTGTGTTGTCGTGCTACAAAAAAAAGTAGGACCAACAAAAGATTAACATAGATGTATAGAGTGCGAATCAATAATAATAGGCTCTTAAAGAAGTAAATGGATAAATATCTAATAAAATAGCTGATTAATTATAAGGTCTAAAGTACAGTGTTTTTTTTTTAGTTGTTTATTTTTTAAATGTTAATTTTGGTTAACATAGTTAAATAATTTTAAGTAATTTGATAAGGTTTTAGTGATTTTATTTATTGTCTTGATTTTCATTAGTATGGAGTCTATTCCCTGAGTATTCAATGTAACGCAGTGAAAAGAAATATATTATGGTAATCGATTTTTTTTATACTTCTGCATAAGTACTTATTTTATTCTTCTTTTTTAAATTAGTTAGATATAGAACGACATTCAGCAGTCATGCCAGATATAAATAATTAGTTTTATTTTGTTTTTTCATCTATGAATATGAATAAAATAGTTCTAAGAACATAATAAGTTAATATTATATGTTGTAATATAATAGTAAGTAGTGCTACATTTTTTTTATTTTTTATATTTAATATACTACTCTCTATATAAATAAAATAATAATATTGTTGGGTAACAATACACTTTCAGTGACATAAAATAATAAATAAATAATTAACATAAGTAATGAAATTTTTGTACTATGACAACCCTGTTGCGCAAATGCAAATTAATATAATAAAAAAGATCAGTTTTGATCATCATTCGCATTAAGAAACTTCGTGTGTGCTTCTTTTCCTTTTTTCGCTTTTTAGTTGTTGTTTACCAAGAAAAACTCTTCTCGGTACAAATATAATTATATTATTTGCATTTATATTATGTATAAAAGTAGTAGTAAATGCAGAATTCTGTATGAGTAACATTTTTGTGTAATTTATAAAAAAATTATCGAAAATTTTTTTATAAACTTAATAATATAATATATTTATATAGTTTCGTAGTATTAATTTTTTTTTATTATTCAAGTTATTAATAAAGTTTATTAGTTAAATAATTATATATATTATCAATAGCACTTGTCACTATTTAATGAGACATTTTCAAATAAATTTCAAATTAATGTGTGATAAAGACAAATAAAATCTTTAACACTTATTTATTTTTATAATATAAAATTTATTTATTCTGTAAATTTTCGAAACATTTGAATTATAAAAAATTTTCTGTCGCAAAAGTGAGATATTTATATTTATCCTCTAGAATGATAAAAAGTCTCATGTGTTGTTACATAGAAATCCTTTTTGCTATTTCAATTCTAAAAACAAAATACAATTTTAAAGATTTTCTTTTTCGTCCTTTTTATTTTTCTTATTTTGCAAACATGAGGTTTATTCCCTTAAGTAATACCAGAAAAGTTTGATGCAAATTTTAATTTGGTTTAAGGATATGTGCTGGTATATTTATCTAATCTGTTAATTTGTATTTATTCTTATGATGTTAAGTATGTTTTTTGTTTAGTTTTTGCGTTTCTGCTTATTGAACTGTAAGGGCTTGATGTTAAATCGTTATAATATCAAATTGAACAGACTACACTTTGAAGATAAATTCATTAAATGATGTTTAATAACTTTATATTAACTTTGTTGCATTTAGAAGACGAAAAATTATATATTTTCAGTTGGAACGAATGAAAAGATAACATATGAGGTAAATGTTACATTTTAAGTTCAATTTTAGTTTTTAAATATATTATTTCTCAGTATTTTTAAGTACATAAAATAATAATTGCACTAAGGAATATTATAGTATAACCAATTGTTTCATTTAACACAATCTACTATTTTCTTATAAACAGCCGAACAGAATTTAATGTTATTTTCATCATTGTGTTATTATTAGATATGTCATTTTGATATAATGTTATCAATTTTTTAATGGCTATATTTTTACAGAAGATTCTTTTAAAAGTTATTTTCACAAAATATTTTTTCAAGTGTACTTATTAAAATTTATTTATTTAGTCACACTTTGAGGATAACATATTTTATCTACGTAAATATCTATGGTTTTTAAATGTTTCCAAAAAATTGAGTTTAAAAACCTTTTGAGTAGATGCTCAGAAAATAAATTCTAAAAACTTTTTGTTCTATGTTTTGTAATTTTATTTTAACAAATGGATTTTATATTTACACAAATAGAATCTTTAACAATACTATTTTTAACTATTTTTCTCACTTTTAAATCATTGCTTAACACTGTCTGTTTATTGACATTTACACCATAATTAATATTTTGGTTTTAGTTTCATTAAAATTTTAATTAAAAAACACCTTTTAATAAATTGTAATTTGAATAAGTTTTTATAAAAAATGTATTTTTGGTATTAAATTTTTAGCTTTTTCATTAGTATTCTTAAGCATTTCACTGAATATCTTTTTTTATTAAATTAACATTTTTATGGGTTTTTTTATTTATAGATTTTATCATCACTTAATGAAATTATTGTGATTTAAATTTAGAATTTATTATTCACTTATAAAAATATTTCCAC